CGGGTATTTTTGGCAGTGGGGTAAGAAAATGTAGCGAAAGATTACCGATTGTCTCTCAATTGAAACACTGGGGAAACTGAAGCGAGACGCCACAGATGAAACTTTGCGTCAGCTCCTCTCCAAGTTGGTTGACCTAGTTGACCAGAAAAAATTTAGAGTCGTAGAAATGTAAAACTGACTGATTATTCGAAGATGTTTTTGGAAAGTTATGAACTTAGTTAATACTCATATAAAGATCTTGATGTTTTTTTTGTTTGTTGTTTTTTGTTCAGAAAAAAGTGAAAATTGTTAATAATCATTATCATAATCGATTGTTTTCAAGTCATTACACAAACAGAATTACAATTGAAGAATTCTTTTACAAAAACATAACTTGAGAGAGGGCCATGAGGCTAAATAACCATGTTTTCAGGTCTCAGAGCAGATTCTCAGAGCGAGATGCTCAGAGCGGATACTCCTGTAGTTAGAGAGACGGAAAAACTTGGAATGAAAGCCCAATCTGATAACAAAAAATAGACGGAAAAAATTTTACCATTTGGTAAAAAAAAAATTTGTGGTTTACCAGGATAAAAAATACTTCTGAAAAATATTGTCAAAAACAATGAAAGAGGCAAATTTAGACTTTTTGAGTAATAAAAATTGGTGGTTTATCAGGATAAAAAATACTTCTAAAAATGTTGTCAAAAACATTGAAAGAGGCAAATTTAGACTTTTTGAGAATTAAAAATTGGTGGTTTACCAGAATAAAAAAATACTTCTAAAAAATATTGTCAAAAAAATTGAAGGAGGCAAATTTTGATTTTTTGAAAAATAACTTCAGAACACATTATTAACCAGGTCACTATTAACTAGAATATATTTAAATAAAATTGATAATTGAATGTGTTTAGTTCCTGGTGATGAAAACATTCTGTCATTCCTGTAATCTTAAGGAACAAAAAGCAAACCATTGAGGAGGACTGCAGCAATGGAGCGCCATTGATGCGAACTTAATCTTTACTGCAACAGCAATAAAAAAAATTTAGTTACATTTTTTTGTTGCACTCTTTCGTTATTACTTTTTGTGAAATTTCAAATTCGCTTTACCGTAATAGTTTACACAAAACTCGTGATTTGATTGATCTAAATTAGCTTTTAAAAGACGTTTCAGAAGCATTTCTTGGTGCTCCATTTTTGTTCTACCAACTGCTGCAAAAGTGGGGACTCCGTGTTGTAAAATTGCCCTGAAAAAAATTTTATCGGCCAAAGCAGCTGTTTGTTAGTCACAAGCGGTCTCAGTCTAATTTGTTTTAAGGTTGTTTTGACTCAGCTTGATTTGTTTAAGGAAAATTTTTGTTGTACGAACGTTAAGTGGTCATCTAAAACTTTTACAAGTGATTTAACTTTTTGAGTTTTTCTATGTTTTGGCCACTGGTTGCTTTACTTGTAGAAACCTTTAGAGCTGATTTTTTTGAACGAAAGGCATTGTTATTAACTCTTCTGTGTTAATTAAAAACTTTTCGCTTGCTAGCCAAAAAAAAACATTTTTGTGTAAAATTTTTGGAGATCTGTTCTTAGGCTATTTAACGAAGAAGTTGCTTTGTGAATGTAAGATCCCCAGAGAGTATAATTTTACAATTTTTGAGGACTGTTGCTTTTTTTCATATCAGTTTTAAGTAGTAAAATACCTGTGAGACAATAAAGTTTATTCTTTGAACTTTTTTTTTCTCCTGATGTAAACATATTGTTTTTTGGTTGCTCAGTATGATTTCAATAGGTTGAAAATAGGGCCGCTAAGTCTATCTGACTCGAATTTTTCCAGCAAAAAAATCATGGTTGACTGGACTGCGTCAAAATCTCTTTTCGGATATTTTAATGTGCACTGAGTTAAGATGAATTGATCGTTCCAGTTAAATCTAATTTCCTCAATCAGCAATAACAATAGCGATTTTCCCCGTTTTAACATGAATACAAACTGATTTTGACTGAACACAATATTTTGATTGTTTTGATTGCTCAGATTTTTTGATTGCTCAGTTATTTGAAAATCAGTTTTTCAAAACACTTGCTTAAATTGGTAAAAATCATTTATCCTAAAATTCGCAGGATTATTTTTGTTACCGTCTTCCTGTATTGGAAATCTTTTTGCATTTTCATTTTTTTTTGGAAAAGCCTAGCAATTGAAGCCTTTTTGGAAAAAAAGTTATTAACTCAGAACATTTTGCTTTGCAATTATTGGAAAAAATCATAACGTTGGTTTTTTTGAATGAGTTCCGCTGGATTGACGTCTTTTTTTTTAAAATTTTTGTCGTAATTTCGTCGCTTCCGCAGTTTTTTTGCAAGAAGGCATTCAATTTCTTAGTTTTCACCTCTGATGGATTGCCTTTTTTATTTTGCTAGCGATTCTGATGTAGCGAGCCTTTTGCACTGGTTTAGCAATCGATGTGTTTTTGTGACTAATTTTTTTATTTCATTATCAAACCAGGTATTTTGCTGCTTTTTGGAGATAGTTGTTTTTTGGAGAAAAACTGAATTACGTTTTGCTATCAAACTTACTTGCGGTTTTAATAGAGCATCCTTACAATATATTGAAGAGATTCAATTCTTCAGTTTGTCCATGTCAAGTCTAAGACTAACCCTGAGAGACAGGGGCGGATCTAGGATTTTCTCGAGGGGGGGGGGGGGCGGATTTTCAAAAAATTTTCCAAAATTTTGACGACCTTTTTTTTTTTTTAGGTCGACGAAATTGATTTTTCGAGCTCTCCCAAAGCACTGTTTTGCCCCTATTTTGTATTTTGGCAAAATTTTCTGCGCCGCAGGCAAATTTTTGAAAAAACAGTAAAAAAAAACCGTTTTTGGGCACTTTTTGAAAAATTTTGATAAAAAACAGCGTTTTTTTTGGCGCGCGCTCCCCCTCAAAGTTAGTATAGATTGGCGCCAAAGGCGCCTTTAGAAAAATTTTAGGGTCGGTCTGCCAAAAATGGATTTCTGAAAAAGTATCAAAGGGGGGACCCTTTGGGTCGGCAGGGGGTCGAATCCCTGAGGGGGGGGAGCGTCCGCCCCCCCCCCCCCGCCCCCCCCTAAATCCGCCCCTGCTGAGAGATTCAATTTTTTGTGGATTGCAGTTCAAACCAGGGACAGAGGTAAATTTTTATATAAAATTATCTGATTTTATATCGATGTTCACATCAAATGTTACAGTTTTTTGATCACTTATTGATGTTCGAAGTAGTTTGGTTTGACATATTTGATTGCAAAAAAATATATCCACACACGGTTTGTTTTCTCAATTTTTTTATGGCAATTTTCACTTCAGAGTGTCCAGTAATTCTATTAATTAGTTTTTTTTCTTCTCATTTTTATTCTAGGTAATATTATTGAAATCACTATATTCTACATGTTCCGACTGGGACAATAATAAGACTATCAATAAGTTTATGAAGCTAATGTTTGCGAGTTAACTGCCCCGCGAGGAGTATAATCAAATAAAAACATCTTGTTTTTACAATGTTTGGTCAAATTAAAAGGCTCAGAAATTGAATACCGTTATCACTTTGTTTTTTGAGTAATTCTTTGTAAAAATTGCTACTCTCTCTGACATATCGAGCTTGTCCGCCTCCTTTTTGTTTTTTGAACATTCAGTTAAATGTTGATACCCATGTAATTGAAAAATGGCTATTTGATGAAAATTTCTTTCAACCAAATTTCTGTTATGCCTATCGCTTCTGTCTCTAGATTTATTTATTTTTGTGTAGTTTTTTTCCCTATAGGAACTTCATTTCCGTGTAGAATTTTTTGGGATGAATTTTATGCTTTGTTTTAAGAGTTGGTTGCTTTAAAACATAATTTAATGTTTTGATGCCCCTTATGAGTTTTGGTTGAACTAAATGTACCTCTAACTTCATTATAGAAAAAGAAACCATTTACAAGAAAAAATTTTTGCCCAATCACAGAGTTGTTGAAACTATAATATAGAAATTGAAATTGAACCGAAAAACTGATTTGAAGTACTTCTGCTATAACCTATTGGTTGCGTAATTACAAATCAGTCATTGCTGCCTCCTTAGTAACAATCAGTGTCGACAAAAACACTTCTAAAAATTTAACTGAGTAATAATTTGATTTTTGTTTGCTTCTTGATTTTTATTTGATTGTTGTCGACTTCTAATTTTAAAATTTTCGCTATTTTTTATTATAATTTTATCCTGAGAAATGAAAACGTTTTTTCATAATCCCGTTTTTCAAGTTGAATTGTTTTAATGAAAAAGTTGTCCAAATAAGTTTGTCTAGAAGTCCAAAGAACTTTAAGTCTATATCTAATTTTTTCTTCGGAACTAAAAAAATTGAGATTTAAAGAAGTACGTTTTTTTCTGTAACCTGGCGCTCATTACTCTTTTCCATCGGTCAGTTGGTTTCGTGTTGAAGAGTGTCAATCAAGCATTGCTCTTTAAATTAAAAGAGTTTTAAGGCCTTTGTTTATTGGAAACTTGAAAGTTGAAGTTTGTTCAAAAAACAACTGAATCTTTTGTTCTTTTTCTATGCGTTTATGACCCTTTTCCAACTGTCTGTTGACTATGTTTGGAATAAATTTCGATATATGTGAAGTTTGTTTGTTAACATTCGTTTTTCATCCTTCTTTTTCCTGTTCAGTGATTTTGATCACACCAAAGTTTTTCGTTGATACTAGAAATTTCATACTGTGCTGGGCCCATGGGAACAATCTGTCCTCTGAAATTAATTGACAAATTCGAGCAGTAAAGAGCAAAATGCACTATGCTAAAATCTGATTGGCTGAAAAATATTACTTTTAGCCAAGAGATCGATCCCCCTCCTAAATTGTTTTAGGGGGGATTCTTCTTTTGGTCCTTTGCTAGGTCGCCAAGTGCGCAGTCTTCCCTGTTGAAAACATTCCAACCCCTTGACAATTAAAACTTGCACAGAAAAAATCATTTCAAACAGCTAACTTTGAATTGAACTTTGATAAAAAACAATTACTCTGTATTTGCTTAAATGAACATCAATTGAACTCAGTCATGTTCAAGTGTATATACCAGCTAGTATAAATCTGTAGTCTTACCATAGCTACAATGCTCTAGCTGACCAAGTTGGAACCGATTGAATTAAACTCGTCAAATTAAACATTTTCAAATACAGTGCTGATTTAAATTATCCGGACAAAACGAACAAAACTTGAATTTTCAAACGCGTTTTTCTCAAATCGGGTTAAGATTAGACAAAAAGTGAAGAAAACAAAAGTTGCTTAGAATTTCACCAGAATTAATACGGTGCCATTTTTTCTCCGAAATTCTCAACAAAAATTTTACCCCAAAAATGGGTCATTTTGGCTTTTTTCAATTAATCAAGAATTACGCTGAAACTACTTTGTTAATTGATAAGAAAATTATATCACAGGAAGCCTCTTACGCAGTTCAACAAAGTTTAAGAAGGGTTAAATTTTCAAAATTTGCGCAAAAATGTTTAAAATATATTTTTAAGCAATAATTCTGGGTTTTATATAGTAAAAATCACATTTATTGACTATCAAATGAAAACTTTTTCTCTTATACTGGTTTTTGGAGATTTAACCCTTCTTAGACTTTGTTGAGCTGCGTAAGAGGCTTCCTGTGATATAATTTTTTTTATCAATTAACAAAGTAGTTTCAGCGTAATTCTTGATTTATTGAAAAAAGCCAAAATGACCCATTTTTGGGGTAAATTTTTTGTTGAGATTTTCGGAGAAAAAATAGCATCATATTAATTCTGGTGAAATTCTAAGCAACTTTTGTCCTCTTCAGTTTTTGTCTAATCTTAACCCAATTTGAGAAAAACGCATTTGAAAATTCAAGTTTTGTTCGTTTCGTCCGGATAATTTAAATCAGCACTGTATTATCATTTAAAATATTTGTGTCAAGTCGTACATAACTTCCTCTTGAAGTTATGCCAAAAAACAATGGTGGAAAAATATCGGATGCCTCGACAACTTATATAATTCGTAGCAACAGCAGAACTTCTACAGACGAATCGCCCTTTTCGAGTTATGCTCCGACTTTAAAAGATCCGGATTACGTTGAGTCACTTTTCACTCGATTAAGATCCGCTAGGTGGAGGAGCTGACTGCAATTGAGTCTGTCGAGGGGTAGTAAATGCAAATTTAATTAAGTGGACATTAAAATCAAGTTAACCTTCCCCCTCCCCCATTCACCACTCAAGAGCAGTGGGGGGGGGGGAGGGATTTGATGATTTTATTTGAATCTTAGCTGGAATTTTCTCAGCAAATCGGAATCATGCAAGGCTTAGCAAACAAACCGATTGAAGGCTGGAGTGGAAGAACTTTATGTGGTATGACGGGGTTGGGCGGAGAGGGATAAGGGAATTTAACTTGATTTAGATTCCTGATTTTTGCTCACTTCGTACCAAAAAAATTTCCAGACTTATGATTTCAATGCGAACTGAACCGAATATACAGGTACTTTTGGGGAGTATTTAGAAAACTTAACTTGACATCCAACCTATTCGTATCGGGAGGGGGGTGATTTTAGTTGTAATTATCAACACCTGTTTTTGACTGACTATTAAGAGTGCACCTCCATTTAAAACTGAAGAGTTTGGGTAAAAAGGAGGGTTTGACATGGATGAACAAAAATAAGTGACCTTCTCCATCGTAGTAACCTTATCCATTCTTATTTCATTCTTAACTCTTCGTAACATTACATGCATGGGCAAACTTTGCAAGCTATCGGTTGTTACACATAAAATCTACTATTCTGAGCATTTAATTAGGAAACCTTTAGTTGTTACCCCCATTTATAGACTCAATTATTGCTGGCTCCATTGTCGACTATAGATTTACCCTGGCATACATGGGCTTCTCTGGATTCCTATTGGTCAATGCGATGAGGGTCAATATGAGTGTAGCTCTGGTAGACATGGTTGACAGTGGCGAAGATGATAACAGTTCCACCAATGAGAACTGTCCAGTTAGATCTTCATTCAACCAATCAGACGGAGATCAGAGAGGTTGGTTGATCAATTCATACTTATTAAAAGTGACTGTTCATAAGTAGGCAAGGAAGTCTTTGCTTAATAAGAGTAATGAACGTAGTGAAAACTCTTATATAGGTCTTGCTGATTTTTTTTGTTTTTTTTTTCAGGGAAAGTCTTAAAATTTATTCACGTTCAACTTTGATTTTTCGCGGTTTGACTTGTAATTTTTTTTAAAGTTCAGTGCATTTCCATTGTTAAAAGAAGGGCAAACTCCACTAGTGAACAGCAAAAGTGTAAAGGTCACGAAAAATGTGATTGACTTCTAATTTCGAAAATGGAAATTAATTATCAGATTTCCCATCGAAATAAAAGTTTCACCTATTGATCCAGTTTTCTCAATTTGGGTTAACTTCAACACAAAAGTTTTCATCATAAATTGTTCTACAAATTCAAAGTGCTTTAAGGCCATTTATTTTTGTTTAAAAGTTGAAGATTTTTGAAAAACCAGTCGGCGGTTTATTCTCAGTTTCCTTGCGTTCATTACTCTTTCTCAACTGTCAGTTGGCTATGTTTTATTTGCTCCTCTTGAAATGCGATTGAAGTTGCTTCTTTTTTAAGTCAAATATTTTTGAATGGAAGGCATTTTTTTCGAGATTCGGCGTTCTATGCTTTTTTTTGATGCGTCAGTGTCGATATCTCAACCTTCATTGAAGTTGATTGTACCAGCTTTATTGTTTATTGTTTTTCATCGCTTGAGTTGATATTTTCTATGAGCATGGGCCTTGGTAGTCGGGAACGTGAAATCTTCTCTTACTAACTTGTTACAAATTGAACAAATTGAACTTGTTACAAACTCAGTTTAACAAAATCAGTTGACTTTTATGACGCTGCCATGCTGCTGACATAATCAATTTCATGAAAATTTGTTTATAACT